AAAGAATGACTGGAATGTGGGCGATTGATAGTGGTGCTACTCACCATATCTGCAACGATAAGACCAAGTTTACACTACTGAATGAGCGTGAAGAAGGCGAGTTATCGGTTGCGGATGGCAATAAAGCCAAAATCAAGGGTGTGGGAACCATTATTGAACGAGTGGTTCTGCCCAACGGCAAAGAGCGCGAGATTGAGATCAAGGACGCGCTGTACGTGCCAAAGACGAACAAGAACTTGTTGTCAGTGCCGCAGATCAACAAGAATGGCTTACTTCAAGTGACGTTTGACGACTTGCGTATGCACATTGCGCACAAAGATTCTCGACAAGTGGTGGCAACTGCTGACCTTGTGGATGGGCTCTATTGGCTTCGTACTTCACAGTATTCTGCCAACTCAGCGACACCAACACACAGCGTTGATTTGCATGCGAGAATGGGGCATGCTCCAGTCAATGTCCTTCGCAAGATGGTCAGCAGTGGAATGATCAAGGACGCAAAAATGCCCACAGAATCAAGCCTTCAGATGTGTCGCGGATGTCAACAAGGTAAAATGGCCCGAAAACCATTTCCAAGCAATCGTGACAAGCGGCGTTATGATACGTTTGAGCTCTTACATCTTGACATCTGTGGTCCAATGAAACAAACATCTTTGGGTGGTGGCAGATACTTGCTTCATATTGTTGACGAAGCCAGCGGATTCATGAAGGGCTATTGTCTTGGCGCTAAGTCTGACTCGGAAGAAGCGATTACACGCTACATTATCAAGGTTCAGACGCAATTTGGAAAACAAGTCAAGTTTATACGACACGACGGAGCCCAAGAATTTGCAACGCAATCGCTTAAGACATTCTACGAGGATCAACACACCAAGCAAATGGCACGGCAGAGCGCGCCATCACAACAATCGTGACCATCGGACATAGTATGCTACATCATGCCAAATTAGACAAATGCTTCTGGGGTGAAGCAGCAATGACCGCGATCTACATCAAGAACCGACTACTGTCACCAAAGGTTGACAATAAGACCCCATTTGAAATTGTGTACAAGTTCAAGCCAAGCGTCAAGCATTTGCGTGTCTTTGGGTGTCGGGTGTATGCATTGACTTCATAGGAGAAACGGCTCAAATGGGATCCAAAAGCTCGTGCTGGTATTTCTGTGGGTTATGAG